TGGCGTCATCGATGTCGCCAGGCCTCCTGCTCACGTGTGGCTCCAATCCGCACAGCCAGTTCGGCGAATTCAAGCGGCCGTGCGGAAGACGGCGGTGACACGGGCCGGATGGGCAACCGCCAACGCTCTTCAACTTCAAGGCATTCAATGCGGTATTCCGTTCATCGACGCTAATCATCGTCGCGCTCATCCACTCGAGGCTAGTCGGCACTGACAATCGAAGTGCGAAATAGGTCACATAGAGCTCGGCACCCGCGGATCCGAAGACGGTATCGAGTATGATACCCCGATAGTGATACCTCCCAAAACATACCACTTCGCAGCGGTAGCAGCCTGCCAATCGGTTCGTCCCGCCAAGTCCCGAGACTCTGAATGCGCTGCTAATGCTTCCGTTGCTACTGAGGGAATCTTGAATACTCTACTGATATGGACGATGGGAATCGCCCGGTACGGCCGAATCTCAGACTCGAGCGTTCTCGGTTGACGTAGTTCAGGATAGACTGGTAACGGGACCTACTACATCTGCCTTGTTTAGTGGGCAGCCTATAGATTGCGTAATCTTGTGTCGCCACGGAGACCAGAAACGAACCAAATACCTGTCAGTGCTCCAATCATTCGTACGATAGAGGTCATCGGACAGTGGAGTGTTGTTCAGAAGGTACGCTATGGCTGTCATCGCAGTATGTTTGCCATGACCATACCATTGATCTACATAGATGGGTAGCTACGGACCCTCCATCCCAAACTGGACATTTTGGTGCACCACAGATGTGGGCATGTCCTGAGTCGCGTTGCCGTCATTGAGCGCAGATCGCTGTCAGCGGTAGACAAACGAGGCGAAAACGCATTGCCCTTCTGTCCTCGAGTCGGGGGTTGAATCACGCATGTGCTCCATACATAGAACTGATCCTAGTAGTACTCGACCGCCTGCTCCCGGTATATATGATACTGATTGAAGGCCTCATGTCCGCCTGCATCAACGCATACAAGGCCTGAAGTTGGCTTTCCAGCTTTTCAGGGTACTGACCGGCGACCGTTATTCATCAATCAACCTGACGCTCGTACCATTCTATGGAGGGAGGAGGGAGGGAGGGAGGTATATTTAGTCTTAGATATAGATACTAGCACTCCATAATAGTGCTAGTCCAAGACCTCACCACTCTATCACGTATTCATCCTCATAACTAGTAGTAGCACTGCCAGTACTCGGTCGCTCGGAAGTGTCCCATGCGAGGAATCTATCGCGTACCATAATGTTGGAGCCTTATTACCATGAGCCCGTTGTAGGACTCCATCTGCTGGCCCCGTCAGCCAGCGGCGGTGTTTTCCAGCGTGGAACGTTGAACGTCCAAATATATTTGTCATGATTATACACTGCCGCTTCTCTTCTTTTCCGGGAGCGGATAAGGTCTTGGCTGATAGAATCACATCCTGTGCAAGAAGGCTGCTTTGCTTCCGGTATGATCGAACGGGTGGTTTTTTGCGCGTCTCCGTCATCCATGGGTTCTCGCTATTGCGGATCTTGCCTTGCCTGCTGTTTTACCGCGAGAATGCAGTCAATCTTGTATCCGAAACTGCGGGTGTCGAGGGCAAGGGTGGAGTTACTATAGAGCACCGCGATGTGAGTGTTCATGTCTGCGCCTTGTTTGTTATTTCTTGCAGCACCGTTGACGGCCTATCAAAACGTGCGCGGGCCGTGCCTACGCAATTGATACATTTGACCGCCCAAGGTGGATCCGACTCGGACGATCGTCGAGCTGCGGAGCCTCACCCTGTCAAGTTAGCGAACACCTACCTTGACGCACTGCGAACGCCCGTGTCTGACAATGGTTACGCTGTCGGGAATGGCATGCATGGCAGACAGACGTTCCTGCCTTCTGTGCCACGCGTTGTTCATCACTGTCGTTCTCCAACTTCGTCGGGCTGTGTCGGGCTGTACAGAGGCTGACGGAGGTAAGCTTGCCCATGAGTCGCAGAAAAGAAGAAAGCCTCGGCTCGTTCCCAGCCCTTCTGTCGACAGCACCTTATACTCCGTCCGGGTGTCCCACCCTTTTCCAGGAGCGTTTGTCTCAGTTTCGCGCCCAAGTTACTGTTTCTGGTCTTCATATCCAAAACCACACCCTTGCAGCGTCCTCCCCATCCTTCGACTGACCCGCCACTCGCGGGCGGATTTGGATGTGCTATCTGGATCTGGAATGGAATAGGTGATCGGCTGCCACAATGGCAGCTCATGGCGGCTGTCAAAATGAACTGCCATACACGCTAATCGAGGATGCATCTGACGCGCTTCGACATGGGAGGGTTGATCTAGCAGTTCAGCAGTTCGCAGAACAGCCACGGAGTTCCAAGACTCAGAACGTCCTCGGGTTGCCTTGAGCCTTACAATGGGCCTACGATTCATCGGAGGTCCAAGCAAAAGGAGTGTTTCGACGAGTCAGGGCAGGCACGCTCGGCATTTCAACTGAGCTAACTCCGGTTGGGTCTCTGTTAGGCTGCGTGTAAGATCCCTCTCACGGAGGACACAGTGAAGAAGACAGAGGCACGAAGCTTGTCTGTTTTGCCCCTGTAACACCAGGATGATACAGGGGCGAATGACATAGTAGATATCCCGCTGTGGCCGCTTTGGTGAATGGGGGAGATGGAGATTTCCAACTGGGCTCGCGTTGTCAGAGAAAGTCACTGCAGTGTCGCGGCAGTGTCAACGAGCGCTCAAGCCCACGGACATCACGCGCGCGGGGCTGTTGAGTGCGCCGAGCAGGCGCCGCGCGCTGTCGTGCCTCGATCCTCATAAGGTTCCCCAGCCATTCACCGCGTATGATAGGCTGGGACCGGGAGGGCTTAGAGGATCAAATCATCGGCTGGCCGGCATCGATCTCGCGCGCAATATAACGGTCATAAACTTGGTTGGTACGTAAGGTCATTTCCCTGTTCTTCCCCCCACCGTTTGTGGCCTCACTCTATGTTGCTCCGCCCTTCCCTTTGACCGCCATCTTGGAGGCCTAGCTGACTGTTACGATGAGCGATGTATACCCCAACGACCCACAGGCCGAGCGATACCAAGTGTGCGTACCGAGTCGCGTGTGAATAGTTCGACTGACTGATTCATTTATTCCAGCTTCCTGCACAACTACTTGCACCTCGTCGGAATAAGTGCATCGTAGCGCTACTGACAGTATGACACGCTCACTCATGTTTTACTGCCAGCTATTTTTTATTTCGACTACGCATTGACGTTCGGTGTCGAGTATACTCGAATATGGAAGCAGCCCGCAACACGAAGCAACTATTTATTCTTTCTCAACCGCTATCTCACTTTATTCGGTGTAAGTAATGCCGGTGACCTGCGGACATGCACTAATCTTTAGCAGGATGTCGCTGTGAATGTCGGGAATTTCTACAGCTTCAAGACCACACAAGTAAGCCTGCTATTACCCTCTGCGCTACTCTATACTGATACACTTGCAGAGGTCAGATGATTTTATCATCGCGGTACGGGCCTCATGTGCTGCTTAGTTGTAGTCAATACGCCTTCTATCGACAAGCTCTGTTGATCGTCGCTCAAGTCCTCGTTTGTTGTGAGTCTCATGCAAAGCTATTCCCGAACGCTCACTCATACGCGCAGTCATACTGTATTTGAGGACGTCCGCCCTCTACAACCGCGGCCAACCCATATCTGGAATAATCCTCGCTATCGGCCTCTCCCTCGGCGGGCTCGCGATCGTAAGTATAATTCCGACACTGAGCACGAACCGCTCATAATGCCTGGACGCAGTTCGCAGTAATTGGACAACACTCGACTATCTCGTTGAGTGGAGGCTGTCATACAGGTATAAGTCGTGCAACGTATGTCTTCCCGGCTTCTGGAATTCTACACACGCTCATTGCTATTAATACGGGCCAATTCTAGTGCGGTCCGTACGTCGTATTCCCTGCATTGAGGTACACATGACATGCGTTGATAATTCTCTCTTGCAGGGTTAGCCGTTGCGTGGGAAAGCCTCTTCGTATTCGACTGCATGATATTCTCCCTCACAATGTACAAAACCTGGAAGCACCGACAACCGCTGCGAAACAACAGGCTTGACCTCATCACTATGATGTCCCGGGACGGTAAGGAGACATCTCACACATAGATACAATCATCTTGTTGAACAATCTGCAGGCGCCCTCTACTTCGCGTACGTGTGGCTCTATCGAACGTTAAGTGTTAGAAGACCATCGCTTATTCGAATGCAGCGTAATGGCGTGTGCTAACCTGTCAAATACTTTGACATTCTATGTGAATCGTCCACCTTCTTCTACCTCACGGTCGCTTACCTTTCCCCAGTTACTCCAGGTAGGAGCCGGCTGTTCCCAAGATAAACTGTCTGTCTAACACGGACTTTAGCCGTTACTCAGAGGTGTTCTTTCCACGTTCGCTAGCAGGTATGCTTCAGCCAATAGTATCTTACACGTGTTATAACGGTAGGATGACAGCGTGTCGGTCACCATGATGTCGCGCCTGATGCTCAATCTGCACGAAGGCGCGGCGACACATTCAACTTCTGCGAACATATCAAGCAGCGAAAACTCAACAACTTTACTCTTCACCTCTCGAATCGCGATGCATGAGAGCGACATGCAGATAGGGCGGGTCCTTAGCGATATCTCCGTTCGAGAAACTCGCTACGTCGAGGAGCGAACGTCCGGCGACGAGACGATGGACGAGGAAGATGCGATAGAGTTGGTGGACACAAGGGCTCCGCGAGCAGGGGCTTCAACGGCTGAACATAGCGCATCCGGACCATAGACAATGTTATTGACGCATAGATGTATCCCAGTAGTTTTGGTGTATCGATAGAATACTCGCGGGCCCGGTGGCATGATAACATATTGTCACGTTTTCTATACGTTCAAAGTGTGTAGCAATGATGGCTGCGTGAACGTATAAATCAGGCTTCCGCTCCGAGAGGACACAATGTTGCCTTGCTGTCTACCCACTGAACGAAAAGGGAAAAAAATGTTCCCAGGGGGAGTCGAGCCCCCGTCTCCACGGTTTCGTTACCCAGAAAGTAAACCACAACGTGATGATCTGACCACTAATCGATGGGAACCTTGGTAGAACCGGTGCATCAATTCCCTCATTACCAGTAGGTGAGTTAGACGCTTGTGCCCGCCACACTCGCTTTGAACTCAGCCGGAGATCGCCGCAACTCTGTCCCGCCATCGCGCTTCGCAACGTCCACAGAGCCTACAACGCCGACGACAACGCTCCCGTCAAGAGGTAAGACATAACGAAGGTATGTTTCCACGTTGTCCGTTCCATGCATTGGTCTATGCTGCAGCCCAAGGCCAGCAATCGTAGCGGAATGGCTGGATGGAACGGCTCTTGCCTGGATGACACCCGACTCATTCATGATGTTTGCAGATGCCCCTCACAGAATACCAGGTGGTCGGTCGCCATCTCCCGACGGAGTCGGAGCCCTCACCCAAGATCTACCGTATGCGCATATTTGCGCCCAATGAAGTTGTCGCCAAGTCGCGGTTCTGGTACTTCCTGAGGTGCGTACCCGCGCACTACGCAGTGGCACCGTGTCGCTGACGCAGCATACAGGCGTCTGGACAAGGTCAAGAAGGCCAGTGGCGAGATCATTGGCGTCAACGTCGTTAGTAGAGTCCCCTGCAGCCGTTCAAATGGCAAGCGAAATGGGAGCTGACCGGCGCCGCGTATGGCTGCCCTCTTAGATCCACGAAAAGAAGCCGCTCAAGGTTAAGAACTTCGGTATCTGGCTCCGCTACGACTCGCGCTCCGGAACACACAACATGTACAAGGAGTTCCGTGAGCTCAGCCGTACCGATGCCGTCAAGTCCCTCTACCAGGACATGGCTGCGAGGCACCGTGCCCGTTTCCGGTCGATCCACGTGCGTATGACTGAAGTGCTGTTTCGAAGCAAATCTAATGGTAGTATGTAGATTCTCCGCGTGGTTGAGATCGAGAAGACGGATGATGTCCGCCGACCCTACATCAAGCAGCTCCTTACGCCGAAACTCAAGTTCCCTCTTCCCCACCGTGTTGGAAAGAGCCGCTCGACCTTCGTCGCGCACCGTCCTGCGACTTTCTAAGCGCATCCTTTGACATGGTATGTATACCGACTTGGGAGTCGAGCTGGGAGAAAAGTATCTCGTCAACGGAGGTTATGAGCCTTGTCGTACACTGCCTATGTACATGCACTATGATATATGATACTGGCGTGCATACTGCCGCTGTGCACTTCAGACCACCTTTTTGCTCGTTCTCCAGTTCCACGACGGTAAAGATTTCATTTCGGAGGGCACGGCACATCTTTCAGACAAGAGACGCCCAGGACATGGCACTTCGTCGGGGTTGTTCGCTTTTACTGATCTAGGTTTCGGTTGGCAGTAGTATGTAGGCGAACTAGCAGTACTTATGAGTTTCGGTCTGACACTGGGAATCCGTGATAAGCACGACTATTCATGCAGCTGCGCTCAACAATGTATCAGAATAGTACCCACCTTCATATCAGACCATGGCTTTTGATCTTGAAAGCTCCCGCCCTCTATCTGCTTATCTGCCGGACAATACCAGCCATGCCGCGAGGCGAGGTCGAAGCGAAGGTTACTGTTAACTTTTAAGCGTTAGCTTGGCTGCGCAGTGGACTCAAGAGGACGCACTGCTTGGGGCCTCTTGAGACATTCTCTCTCGTCGACGGTGACGATGCCGCTCTTTTACCAGTCCCTCGTTTGCCTCATACTTTCCCTCGCCGCTACGGCCCTCACTTCTCCACGGATCGTCCACGAGAGACGGGATGCAGCACCCTCCGGCTGGAGACCCGTACGACGCGCAAGTGCGGACCTGAAGCTCCCTCTCCGCATCGCCCTCACACAGCCCAACCTCGCTGATCTGGATGACTACCTCCTCGAAGTATCTCACCCTGAGTCACCGAGCTACGGCAAACACTGGAGCGCCGCGAAGGTCGCGGAGACGTTCCGGCCATCACCCGACGCCGTCAAGGCTGTCCTGGATTGGCTGGAGGACGAAGGTGTGGATGCACACCGAGTGCGGCTCAGTAAGGGTGGGAGCTGGGTCCACGCAGATGTGACTGTCGCAGAGGCGGAGTCGCTCCTCGGTGCAGAGTACCATGTGTACCAGCACGGGGCGAGCGGCACCGAGCACATCGCCTGCGAGGAGAAGTATCACCTCCCAGAGCACGTTGCCGAGCATGTCGACCTCATCACGCCAACGCTGCACTTCGACGTGCACACGATCGGCAAGCGGTCGATAGACAGGTCCATTGGCCAGCCGGGTGCAGGCATCGTCAACCCGAAAGTCATGGAAGAGGGCGTGCGATGGTCGACAAAGCAGGCGAGCTGCGCCAAGCAAATCACGCCCGACTGCATTCGGCAGCTGTACAACTTCACCTACACGCCTGTTGCGGCGGAAAACAACAGCATCGCCATCGGTATGTCTGTATTCGAGTTCACGCTGGCGTACGGCGGGTAACGCTTTCTATCAGTGGAATACACGCCAGTGGCATACTTGCCTGCCGATCTCGACGCGTTCTTCGGAAACTACTCGTCCAGCCAGGTTGGTCAGCGACCGGCTCTGGTGAGTATCGACGGAGGCGCGTTTTCCGTCCAGCAAGCATACGCATTCGTCTGACGATCGGTTGGCATAGGGTATGAGCAGACGAGCTTCCAAGGATTTAGTATCAACGGAGAGGCGAACTTGGACCTCGAGTATGCCATGGCTCTTGTGGGCCCGACTCAGAACGTGACCCTGTACCAAGTCGGCGATCTCATACAGGGTATGTGTTCATCCCCTGTGGAGAGATATAGGCTGACGGTCCGCAGGTGGTTCATTCAACAACTTCCTCGATGCCCTCGACGCATCGTACTGCGATTATGATGGGGGAGACAACAGCACATTCGATGGGGTCTATCCCGACTCGAAGTACAACAGCAAAGATTGCGGGACTGCATCCCTGGCGAACGTTATTTCCACCTCTTACGGCTACACAGAAGCACAGCTCGGTCAGGCGTACATCGAGCGTCAGTGCTACGAATATGGCAAGGTACGTAGTCGTATGTTACCTGCCCTGCCTACCCACTGACATCGCCTATAGCTCGGTCTCCTGGGCGTCACCTTCGTGTACTCGTCTGGCGACAATGGCGTCGCGGGCAACGGCGAGTGCCTGAACGCGAACGGAGTCGAGAGCTCGAACGGCACGCGGTTCAACCCTGGTTTCCCGGCCACATGCCCATACGTGACCACTGTCGGAGCGACACAGATAGAGTCTGGCAAAACGGTACGCCCGCGGCGTCGACGCCTGCGAATGGTATACTGATATATGGCAGGTGAACGACCCGGAAGTAGCGTGTGACACCAACATCTACTCTGGCGGCGGATTCTCGAACACCTTCGGCATCCCTGAGTGGCAAGTCGACGCCGTGCATGGGTTCCTGAGCAGCTACAACACGACGTATGCTGCGGATCTGTTCAACTCGACGGGTGTGTCTCGGGGGTACCCGGACATCGCTTTGAATGGGTATGTGTGTGCGTGTCCAACTGGCAAGTGGCTCACGACTGTATATCGTAGGCTGAATTACGCTGTCGTCTCGAATGGGGCCGTGCAGCTCGTGGCGGGAAGTTCTGCGTCGGCGCCCGCCGCTGCGGCGATGCTTGCCGCTGTGAATGACGCGCGGATTGCGACCGGGAAGAGCACCATCGGGTTCATCAACCCTACAGTACGTCGCAGCCCCTATACCCCCAGAATCACGGTGTGTTGATATCATGCACTTGCAGCTCTACAGCTCCAACTTCTCAGGAGCGTTCAACGACATCACGTCGGGCAACAACCCGGGCTGCGGCACGAAGGGCTTCTCTGCGCAAGCCGGGTGGGATCCCGTCACTGGTTTGGGTACATTGAACTTCCCGAAGCTATTGGAGCTCTGGACGGCGTTGCCCTGAGCTTATAGCACACATTTACGTCGCATCCTTTCTCGTCACCCCTTACCTCCGCCGCGACACGACCTCTCTGCTCCATTCACCCGGATCCCGGGATTCTAATGATGCTTCGCGCTCTTGTTTTCGTTCTGCGCCACTGGTCTTGGCCATGGATTGCTTCTTTCCCATGTTGCACGCGCTCACTGCTACTGATATGCTCCTATAAATGTTATGGCCTTACGCTGTAACCCACCCTTAAATGCCATAATCGCACAGTGAACTCGCTGCAGCACAACCAAACTTCATGTTGCATAATGCCCAAAATTATGTGGAACGAGTGGTATGGTATAACGATCGTGGGCGGTACAAGCATGATGACCAAATACGAGCAACCTCAGCAAGAAACGAGGAGAATGTCCACAGGCAAAGAAAGGGGTGTATGCAGAATCTCGGGAGCCCAAAGACAACGTGTTCATGTTCCCCATCGAGTCCAAGATGTCCCTACTAGATCACGCGAAGCTAGGGAACTGATTATGCTATTGCCAGACCAAGGACGGCGCCGACTAAAGCCAGGCCGCCCATGGGGACGGTGAGTGCACCAGCAGCACTCTTCTCACCACTGCCGGACTGGGTGGCGCTGGAGCCGGAGCTGGTTGCGCTGCTGGTGGCCGTGCCCGTGCCCGTGGGTGTGGCAGTTGAGGCCGGGTACTCCGAGCCGTCAGCCTTGATCTCGAATGGCTGACTGGTGGCATAGACCTGTTGGGCGAGTGAAGGATGAGTGAGGATGTCCTACAAGGTGTGACGTATGAGAGCTCACATCCGAGGAGTTGAGGATGTTAGCGAAGATGATGGTGTAGCCCTGCGCGGCGGGGAACTTCGCCAGCTGGGTGGCGTAGATCTCGACTGAGCATTGATAGTTAGGCTGGTTCGCGACAAAGGCATAAGGGGAAGCCAAGATGGTCTGGTCTGAGCTGTCGAGACTATGTGACGAGGTGAGATAAGCTACGACGAGCAAGTGACGAGTAAAACTTACAGAACAGTGAAGTTCTGGTACGGCGACGTCTCGCAGGTCCACGTAATGTCGTTAACCTCGCCGCTCACTGCAAGAGAAACTGGGTGAGACGGCGAACAGACCCCATAGATGGAGAC